ACACCATAACGTTGGTGAAATACTTGGTTTAAATTTTCGAGTGCCTTTGTTCCGTTTTGAAAAGTACAATATGAATAGTTTAAAGAACGGTGATAGCTTCAAAAAGCTTCAAGGTAAGAAACACTATATGATTTGAATGATTTCTTAGCTTATAACGTTGTTAAAAGCATATTTGTTTCATTTCACAAATTTGAGTCCCATAAATACATTTAAAAAAATGGGTACTTTTTTACCCAGTTACGGAAAACAATGCGTTCTGGAAATGGGTAAAAAGTACCCCATGATTTGACGTATAAGCTCTTTACCCATTAGTGGGTAAAGACGTTTTACCCATTTTATGAGTTTACCTACTTTACCGCAAAATGGGCACTTTTTCACCCATTAATGGACACTTTCCAGTTACAGTGTACACTGTGACTGGCAAGTACCCATTAATGGGTGAAAAAGTACCCATTTCGAAGTAAACTAGGTAAACTCATAAAATGGGTAAAACGTCTTTACCCAATAATGGGTAAAGAGCTTGTACGTCAAATCATCGGGTACTTTTTACCCATTTTCAGAAATGAAAAGATTTAGAAAATGGGTAAAAAGTATACATTTTCGATAATTGAGCTATTTAGAAATTAATTGTAATTTGATTTTTCGCATATTTCATTGAAATGGCGGAAACATTAGCATTAATAACTTGTTTTTTATTTATTTCGATAATAATAACTCGGCATCCACTGTCCCTGCTGTGCAATGTGTTGCTTTTGTCGGACGTTTCTTCATGTCATCCCTTCCTGGAACACTTTGTTCACGGCCACTTCCTTGTGGATCTGAAATTAACAATAAAAATCATTAAATTTTATCTGAATTTCATAATGTACACCACCTAGATATATTTCAAATAAATACTTACATTTCAATACTCATTTTACTAGGCATAGATGGCATAGAAAATCAATTTTTAAGCCCTCGTAATATGCTTTGTGTTAGACAATATTCACTATTAATTAAGATAATTTTCACCCAATAATGGGTTAAATAATACTCATTTTTCTTCCCCGAAGAGGTCAAAAAGATGGGTACAAAAGAACCCATTTTCAAAAATATTCAATTACCCATTATTTGACAGCTTCATATACTTACTTATAATGGGTACTTTTATACCCATTAATGGGTACTTGCATGTTACAGTGTATCCCGTAGCACGTAAAAACGTCATTACTTTTCAGCTCCGTACCAGGCCTAAAGCCTGGTACGCAGCTGAAAAGAAAACGGAAAAATAATTTTTGAGGAATATTCCCAAAAGTAAATTTGACAGCTATAGGGAGGTGTCTTTTGCTAAATTTTGAGATCATAGGTAGGTGTCGTCTAATTTTAAAATCAACAATTATCAATTTTTATGTTGTTAAAATGCATCCAAAACATCATTTTTACAACAAACGTTAAAATTACCTAACGGAATAATTGGTCAGACCATTATTCCGCAAGAAAAATGAAATTGAATTCAGAATGCGCCACCTTCATATCGATCACGATACTAATGTAATCGATCTTTCCTTTACCGATTTCTTTTGAAAGGCGTACTGGGTCAAGAAATGCTAATTGGCGTCTTGCAGTGAAACTTTTCCAAGCTTTCGCCACCTACATTTCGAAGTGAGCACTACTAGAAGGAGGATAGTTTTCAAATTCTCCAAGTAAAACAGACGATTTTGGGGGCAAATCGGTACATAAATAAAAAACTAATAATTTCCGGTGGAAACTTTTGCTTGAATCGTGTAAGAAAACGTGTTTGCAAACTAACTGTTATTATTTCGGTATGGATCGGAGATGTTTTCATGGAAAATTAGGCACAACAAGTTTACACCCACATGTAGAGGTTACCGAGGAGGTTACCTCTGCGCAGCTGCATTTTTCGGAAAATGGTGAATTTGTGCGATTTCCACTAGGATGAAAGTGGAAATTAAGTGAATTTACTTAGTAAAGATTGTATCATGCTGGTGATAATGTAGAAATGGTTGTATAGGACGCCAATTTTCAATAAATGTTCATTTTGGCCTTTTTTAGGTAAACATATTGATACTCACAATTTTCGACGGAAAACGCAATGGAACTTGATTTACTCAACACGCATCATACTATAAAATGGTGCTCGATGGTTTATAAAGTGTTAACAAGATGACAAATCATCTTTATTATGAGTAATTTAGCAATTTACTTCTGTTTACATCAAACGTACGATGCAGCATTGATGGAGCCGTGAAATGAAATGAATATATCTTATGAAAGTTCATCTGGAAAAGTCAAAGATGCACATCAGTCTGATCGTAAAAACATTTTCTTCTTCAATTCGAATGTTATATTGGAAGGATTTCACGCAGGCTTGATGAAAATTATGATTTAATGCAAATTTTCACGAATTTTATATGCAGTCTGTCAACATTATCATCATCATGCAGTGGCGACATCTGCGTCGAGCTTTTACGGCAATCTTCCAATTAAAAGAAATTTCTTTAGCATTCCGTGTCCTATCCAGTCACGCCAAGAGTGAAGCCAAGTCTACCTATTGAACTGTCAAACCGGCTACCTATCGTGCAAAGTAAACAAAAATTACGATGCTATGAAAGGTCCACGAAAGGTATTGCAATAAAATATAAAATAAAATTGAAGAAATGATCATAAACACGCAGAGAGCATTAAATTGTCATGGGATACGTTTGCTAATGATCAGTAATTAGAATTTCTACTATTGTTTGATAAGATAATTTGACAAAATCACTGATATAATGATTCACTACAGCCGCAATTTTTTGTTCTAGCTAGAAGTCATTTGAAGTTGATGCAGAAGTCCTCTGTTGCCAAGTGAAAAGAAAGGGAATCCTTCGAAAACCGTGGTGCGAGTTCAACTGTTTTTCTCTTGGCGTGACTCATTATACACCGACTCTAGTAAAAACGTCATTACTTTTCAGCTGCGTACCAGGCTTAAAGCCTAGTACGCAGCTGAAACGAAAACGGAAAAGTAATTTTTGTGGATTTTTCCCAAAAGAAAATTTGACAGCTATAGTCTGCTAAATTTTGAGATTATACACAGCAAAAAAAAAATGTAATATCGATCAATGTAATTCAAGCTGATGTATGAAATAATGATGTAATAGCAAAAAGCAGATACAATATTACATCAATGGATGTAATTTTGTTCGCAAAATCGATGTACATCGTACAACGTTATATAACACAACCGATGGATTGACCTGGTTGCAGCAGTTTGGATGTAATATTCAACAACTTTTTTTTTCTGTGTAGGGAGATGTGGTCAAATTGTAAAATCAACACTTATTAGTGTTTCTGTTGTTTAAATGCATCCAAAACATCAGTTTTGCAATAAACGCCAACATTACCTAACGGAATAATTGATCAGACCATTATTCCGCAAGGAAAGTGAAATTGCATTCAGAATGCGCCACCTTTATGTCGATCACGATACTAATGTAATCGATCTTTCCTTTACCGATTTCTTTTGAACTGCGTACTGGGTCAAGAAATGCTAAGGAAAAGAAATTTCTTTAGCATTCCGTGCACGGTGTTTCGCGAAAACCCATTAATGGGTATAAAAATACCCATTTCCGCTAAAAGTGCCCCTCCTCATTTAATGGGTAAACTATGGTTTACTCATAAATGGGTAAATGGGTGGTCTGTCAATAAATGGGTGTTTTTTCACCCATTTTCTTATATTGTGTTTACCGTAAAATGGGTGAAAAAATACCCATTTTTACAAATGGAGGATGCAAGCGATCGTTGATGTAAAAATGTTTTTAAAACATTGAAAATAAATGCAGGTGTTCCGCTCAAATTTTTCACGAAACATTATAATACAAATTATCCATTGTATTGACTTATCCGTAAGCCTCTCCAACGTTTTGGATTCTAACATTTTCCGGAGATCGTTGCTGCGGACAGTAACTGTTTGCATCGAGGTTTGCATTCCCAATGAGCCGGTGACGGAAATGAGACGATAAAATTTCGAAGTGTTTTTTCACCCATTAATGGGTAAAAAATATACCCATTATTCAACCGTGAACTGATTCTTTAAATGGGTATTTTTTCACCCATTTTATGATTTCAAAATTCCCCCATTTTTTGACAGCTGCATACATGGTTTGAAAATGGGTATTTTTTTACCCATTAATGGGTTTTCACGAAACACCGTGCACGGTGTTTCGTGAAAACCCATTAATGGGTAAAAAAATACCCATTCTCAAACCATGTATGCAGCTGTCAAAAAATGGGGGAATTTTGAAACCATAAAATGGGTGAAAAAATACCCATTTAAAGAATCAGTTCACGGTTGAATAATGGGTATATTTTTTACCCATTAATGGGTGAAAAAACACTTCGAAATTTTATCGTCTCATTTCCGTCATTGGGAATGCAAACCACGATGCAAACAGTTACTGTCCGCAGCAACGATCTCCGGAAAATATTAGAATCCAAAACGTTGGAGAGGCTTACGGATAAGTCAATACAATGGATAATTTGTATTATAATGTTTCGTGAAAAATTTGAGCGGAAAACCTGCATTTATTTTCAATGTTTTAAAAACATTTTTACATCAACGAGCGCTTGCATCCTCCATTTGTAAAAATGAGTATTTTTTCACCCATTTTACGGTAAACACAATATAAGAAAATGGGTGAAAAAACACCCATTTATTGACAGACCACCCATTTACCCATTTATGAGTAAACCATAGTTTACCCATTAAATGAGGAGGGGCACTTTTAGCGGAAATGGGTATTTTTATACCCATTAATGGGTTTTTGCGAAACACCGTGTGTAGCACGTAAAAACGTCATTACTTTTCAGCTGCGTACCAGGCTTAAATCGGTAGTTCTGGCCACCCTGGTATAAACACAAAACACAAAAGTGGCTGATCCCTCGTTTCAATGTTTACAGTTGTCTTCTGCTTTTTGTTGGCCGTTATCTTGTCACTTTTTTTTTTCTTTTTGATGTCTTTTACTGAAAATCCTTTTTGCGTTTGAAGTTTGATTATTCGCAAGTGTGAAAATTAGCGAAAATAGTAGTAGAAAGTGTATTTTTCTTCCCGTTTCCATTAGATAATCATTATCTGATACTGATCTCGTTCGATGGTGATAGTTTAACGCGTATAAATTGCGTTGCGGGAGCAAAAATCACTTAGCTAGGAATCATGAAAAAAATTGCCCATGTCTGAAGGAGTTTGCCTTATTCTCCACCAGCTGTTATTTTGTTTTTGTTAAAAACCATTTGAGGAGTATCCGCTCGCAACATTTCCTAGCCGTAAAATGGATATCGTCGGACTGGTCAAGCGGTCCTACTCGGATTACGGAACGATACTGAAGGATTCGTGGTACACAATCATTGCGGAAGAGGTGAGGAATAATATAACATATTACCAGTATTACATTCCGCATGTCTTCTTCCCACAGGCAGTGGTAGTGGCAGTAGTATTATATTTTATTGAATTTAATTGTAAAGCTGAACTAAAAGTCGCCACCCTGATTTACATTCTGTTTGGTTTCGTTACAGTTCGCTTGGTCATTGAGTTTGCTGTTACTGCTGATTGCGACGATAGTAGGACTTTACTGCTGGAGGCGAATCTATTTGAAAAGTGAGTGGAGCGATGGAGTCTGATTTTTTTCCTTGTACCTAATTACCTAAATTATTGTTTTATACATGTGCAGAACTCCGTGACAAAGCGGCTCAGTTGCTATTCCAAAGCCATGATCCTTCCCAGTTGCGTTTCCGGAAGCGGGACAAAATGCTGTTTTATGGTCGGAGGATGCTCCGTAAGATGAAGTCCATCTCTGGTCAGGCTTACAGTGGCCAGGGTAGAAAGCGGAAGGCAGTTATGCGTTTCGCCAAGCGGCTTCTCCATATACGTCGTGAAAATGATCCGATTCAGCTGCAGGTGGTTGAGCCACCGGCCGAGTACCTGGAAGAAGCAGCAGAATGGAATGATAAAGTCCCTCCCGATGCACTGTACATGCTGCAAAGCATTCGAATTTTTGGTCACTTTGAGAAGCCGGTCTTTTTGAAGATTTGCAAACACACCGAAATCATCAATTTGATCGCCGGCGAGTCGTTGATAAAGGTTGGCGATCCGGATGATAGTGTATTTATCGTGCAATCGGGACAAGTCAATGTATTTCTGAACAATCCGGATGGCAGTTCTATTGCATTGAAAGTAGTTCGCAAGGGCGAATCAGTAACATCGTTGCTGAGCTTCATCGATGTGCTAGTTGTAAGTATTTTGCGTTTTATGGCTCAAGTAGCATCCCTGATTGAATTGAGCATCTTCTTTTGCAGGGTAATACTAGTCAATATAAAACGGTTACAGCAAGAGCGATAGAAAATTCTCAAGTGATCCGATTGCCAATGTTTGCCTTCAAGGAAGTGTTCGATGAAAGCCCAGATTTGCTTGTCAGAGTCATACAGGTCATTATGATTCGGTTACAACGCGTTACAATTACGGCTTTACACAACTATCTGGGACTGAGCACGGAGTATATACAGGTAGGAAATTGAAGTTCCGAAACATTTCTAACAAATTGCTAAACTTCTGACCTTAAATGTAGTGTTCGTCACAGCGTAAGAAAGTGACAGTGCCGATGAAAAATAGCCCCGGCCATCGTCGTGTACCGTCGGATGTACAAGCACCATCCCATTCGCTAGTTGGCCACACAGTAACGGGTGACGCCAGACCGGATATGTTGGCAGATTTGTCCGATCATATCGGCAGTCGACGTGCATCGGCACTACCAAGTGAACCAATGGAGGATACCGTAATGAAATCCATTGCCATTGAAGGATTTTTGAAAGAGCTCGGACTGAAGGATGAAGATAAACCATTTGTAGAAGACAATATTGTTATAAAAGAGATTGCTCCGGGAACCACGTTGACGCATCAAGGCAGAAACGATGTATGTATTTTTAGTTGCAGCTTATTTGGCAAAAAATACAACTCGTCTTTTATTTCAGGACGTTTTGTTGATTTTCGTCATCAGCGGTGGCTTGACAATAGCCCAGTATCCGCAAATTAATCTCGGGTGCAACAAAAAGCTGGACAAATCGGAAAATCATACCGTTACAATTCATCCCGGTGATGTGGTTGGTGGTCTGGCGGTGCTCACCGGTGAAAGCAGCTTGTATACAATCAAAGCGAAACACTATTCTCGTGTGGGGTTGCTCTGTAAAGAGGTGATCTATAAGTAAGTTGAGGAAGGTAGTCAAGCTGCAGTAGACCTATGTGACATATGTGCGGTTCTTATCATTTCAGCATAATGCGCGAACGTCCGGCTGTCGTCCTAGACATTGCCGACAGTGTGGTGAAGCGTCTGTCTCCGCTGGTGCGTCAGTGTGACTTTGCATTGGATTGGAATTTCCTCGAATCCGGTCGTGCTGTTTATCGTCAGGATGAAAACAGCGATTGCACTTATATCGTCCTAAACGGTCGACTACGCTCGGTCATAACTCACTCGAATGGTAAGAAGGAGATTGTAGGAGAGTACGGCAAAGGAGACTTAATCGGCATCGTTGAGATGATCACGGAAACACCCCGCACAACAACTGTGATGGCGGTGCGTGATTCTGAACTGGCCAAACTGCCAGAAGGTCTTTTCAATGCAATTAAATTCAAGTATCCGATAGTGGTAACCCAGTTGATTAGTTTACTGAGCCATAGAATTCTGGGATCAATGCAAGCTAGACCAATTACGGGAAGCTCTATAACAGCAGTCCCGTTTGATACGAGCCAACAGATTCAACATCGGTACTCCACTGTGGCCATCGTCCCTATCAGCGAAGATGTTCCCCTCACTGCGTTCACCTATGAACTTTACCACTCTCTGTGTGCTATTGGTTCAACGTTGAGGCTTACATCAGATGTCGTACGGAAAACTCTCGGTCCTCAGATTATGGATCAATCTAACGAATACCGGCTCACTAGTTGGCTTGGCCAGCAGGAAGACCGCCACAACATTGCACTGTATCAGTGTGATTTAACGTTTGGTCCGTGGACGCAGCGCTGCTTGCGACAGGCCGACGTGATAGTGATTGTCGGGTTGGGCGATAGGCCACCTACCATTGGAAAACTCGAAAAAGAGATCGATAGACTTGCGATACGTACCGCTAAGGAATTGGTTCTTCTACATCATGAAGGCGCTGCACGTCCAACAAACACTACCAGTTGGCTGAATATGCGAGCCTGGGTTTCGCGACATCATCACATACAGTGCCCTAAGAGGATGTTCACGAGAAGAAGTCAATACCGAATTGTAAGACGAAGGATGTTTAAATTTCCACAACGTTGTTTGATCCACTCGTCTACTTTTCAGAACGACTTGTACAGTAAGGTGTTGATGTCGGAGCCGAATATTCATTCTGATTTCTCTCGTCTGGCGAGATGGTTGACGGGCAATTCCGTCGGTTTGGTGCTGGGTGGAGGTGGAGCCCGTGGTGCTGCTCATGTAGGTATGTTCAAAGCCATACAGGAGGCCGGCATTCCTATTGATATGGTTGGCGGTGTAAGTATCGGTGCGTTTATGGGGGCACTCTGGTGCTCGGAGAAAAATGTAACAACCGTCACACAGAAAGCTCGGGAGTGGTGCAAGGTAAGTACACTGATATTTGTAATCAAACATTGCTGAGACATCCCAGAGATTTAGTTTTCTTTTCGTTAGACCAATACTGCCACCTCAATTGTTTTGAATGTTAGTTTTTGGTCAACGACTGCGCATATAACTTACTTGATACTTTTACAATTCGCTGAATCTATGTCCAGTCGCTTCCAGTCATTGGGACGGCCGTCTCAGTTGCAAAAAGCCAACGTATTCGAGGTAAGCTCCGGAGTCGACGACCTCGTCCGGATTCTCGGTTGAATAATATTTTCACTTTCCGTTCTTCTGGCATTTTCAGCTCACCGTAAACTGCCACGTTTTATAAGCTTCACATTATCTATTCACATCATGCTATTTTCTATTTTACCGCTGAGTATTGTTAGCAGCGCTTCAACATACGCTATTCATATCCGATAAAACCTACCAGAGTATAAACGGCTGTGCAGTCGGATTTAAATCGATCGGCTCCGGTGCCTTTGATTTGAAAATAACCTGCTTCGACTCCGATTCAAACAAAATACAGTAAAAATGTACTTCAATCAATTCCGGTTCATTAAATGCTTAAATAAAGATAGTTTTCGTACATTTAAGCTTGAATATGTCATGAAATATTACTATCAAATTTCTTGATTGATTTTTTTGAAGATATTTAAGATATTTTCACAGATTCAAGTATTTGCTGTATGAACGTAAATTTAAATAATCAAATTAAATATAAATTTTGTGGAATAGGAGAATACATTTAATAAAAATTTCCAAAATCGTTACTTAATCGGCAGGCACTTCTAATGGGACCGCATAAAAACACATTTTCGAATGAAATTACAGAGCTTGTGATTAAATCAGTCATAACTTTCAAATCATAATTTCCATCGGAAATCGTTATTAGCCCCATTTTCCAATGAAACGATCACAATTTGTAATAAAAAAGCTTGGCTCAATTTCAAGAGAAAATCATTTGACGAAATCAACCATAACCTTCAATGGTTCAACAAAAATTGCTGACATTTGAACATAACAACTTCTAATAAAAGTGGTCACCATTTTAAACGGATATTTGGCGGAAGTTCTATCGGATTTTTTTTTCAATTTTTGACCATTTTAAACGAAAATGGACAAAACATTTAAATAAACATAAATCTCTAAATAAAAACATAATGTAGTTTAAGGTCATAGGAAGCCTTATTTTCAAAAGCGCACTCTACTCCGTGTTCAGCATGTGTAGAAGGTGGCATTTGCCACTAAAACATTCCAGAGGGGCGGAAAATTGTTCCAATGTTCCTTACTTTTTGTTTTGTTTTGTTTATTTAAGAGGGTTTAAATGGTTGTTCATTCACCTCCAATTAGTCTGTCATTAATAGTATTAGTAAAGTCCCTTTTCTTTACTAATTGAACTTCTTCCAAGTTCCATATTTACTTTTTCCAAGTTATCTCAATTTGACCAAGATCTCAGAACATTTACGACTTTCTCCTTGGAGGACGAATTTTCCTAAACATCTGGCGAAATAAAAATCTTAAAACTTCCAGCAAAATCCCATATCAAACCTGAAGTAAAATATTCTCTGAACTTCTGAAGTTCGCGGAGCATCTACATTTTTGGTTGAACTGCTACGAAGTCCCTTGAACAAATTCCAGTACTTCAATAAGTTTTACGAATTTCCTTGAATTTTTTGTTTGACTTCTACAAAGTTCTCAGAGTTCGTTTATTTTCTGCGAAGTTCCTTGAGCCAGAGAATAGACGTTGAGGCTCGAGCAAAATTTCTTCAAAAACTAGTATAAAAATTCACATTGCACACAAGTGCCGCCTAAGGCGAGTTCCCCACTTAAAAAATCTTTTTGAAAACATGATGGCGCTGACGTAGGACAATTTACACTACACACTAAGTGCCGTTAGCGCCGAGTGGCAATTTTCAACCGAAAACTTGAGCGACACTAGCTTCAAATTGTTCGAAAGTGGAAAAAAAATATAGAGAAAACCTGGAGATGCTAGCGCCACATAACGGCGATGTTCCCACTTAAGTTTCTGACTGAAGTTAGACGTCTGTTCTGTTCTGAATTTTCACGAAATATTTTAAATCTGTTAAACTTTAACGAAGTGCCTTGAAATTAAACAATATTTCCTAAACTTCAACGACATTTCCAATACATGTACAAGGTTCCCAATTCTACAAAGCTTTCTCGAATTTTAACAAAGCACTCTGAATTTCTTAAAATTATCTGAAGCTCGAAGAAGTTTCCCGAATTTATATTAAATTTCCTGAACTTCTACGATGCCCCTGAAAAATATCCTTGCAGTTTTAAAAAGTCTAATGAAGTTAAAGAAAATCCCAACTCCAAAATCGCTTAGTTCCTCTAAAGTTCGCAAATTTTCAATAATGGGAGTTCTCAGAACTTCTATAAAACTTGCTAAAGTTAGTCTAGTCTAGTCTATTCTACACGTACTCAGTCAGTACTCAACAATACAACTTGCTGAAGTTAGTTCTGCTAAATTCTCTGAAGTTCTATTATATTCTACAAAGCTTGCTGAACTTTTACAAAGTTAGTCGAACTTTTATAAAATTTGCTGCACTTCCAGAACTTCTAAGCAGTTCAATTAATAACTGCAAAGTTTTCGAAAGATCTACAGGAACATCTCCTTGAAAATCTAAGAAGTTCCTTAAAATCCTACAACGTCCCCTTTACTTTTAGTAAGTTCTTCGAGCTTCTGCGATATTCTCTGAAATCAAATGATGATCTCTTAACTTTTACGAATTGATCTTCTAAGAAATCAAGGTCTCTGAACTTCTGGGAATACTCAGTTTCGTAAATCTGAATTATTGAACATGTTCGCTTGCCCACAAATTTTAAAAGTAGCGGTGAACTAGTGGCGTTTCCTTAACCTCAATGTACCTGTGCACCAACTCTCAAAACATAAACAATTATCAAAATATTTCTTGCAAAGGATAGATATCGATTAAACTAGAAGATTAAGTGTATTTTTCAACCGATTCGAGTATGAATATGACATTAAATCTGGTTTTGAAAGTTGGTGCACAGGTAAAATGTGAAAACATCTCGTCGATTTCGTTGACGATTTTTTGTAAATACACCTAGCATCGCTGAGCTGTACTGCTTTGTACGGCATAACAGTTCCTTTAGCATTTTTGACGAAAATGAAAAATGCATTGGGATCAATTGTCAAGTACCTTGACTTTACACTGAGCTGCGGACCCTTCGAACAGTAGAAGACATCGGCCTTAGCCTGATTGGTATGGTATGGTATTCACTTTACAATGTAAACCAAAAGTTTCCAACTTTGTTCAGAAAATGTCGGGAAAAACCAAAACTATGTTGTCCCATCCATAAGAGCCCGTGCAGAAAAAATCACCAACAGTATTTTTTTCAGTTCGCTGTTTTAACGAATGGAACAACTATGCTGAAAAGGGCAGTGAATAGTTCCCACTGAATGTCAGAGAAAACAGCTATAAACGTGATAATTTGTTGCAATATCTCTGTATCTTTTGCATCACTCTTATTGGCAAATCAAAGTTGGCACTCGTGGAGAATAGATGAACTATGAAAGTGATGATGGTTTCAAAATTTTACACGGAGAGGTATACGAGTTCAATCTTAAAATGCCTTTATTTTGCAAATTGAGCATTTTATTTAAATCTGGTTAATACTTCGTTAGTAGAAAACTTAAGGACTACTCAGTAGATATATAATATAGAAAAAATAATTTCTTTTCAGATTTTTAGGTGTTTGCATAGATTTCAGCTTTTCTACAACTTTAGCAACAACCAGATTTAAATTCAATGCTCCATTTTCAAAAAAAAAAAGCATTTTAAGATTGCACTCGTATACCTCTCCGTGGAAAATTTTGAAACCATCATCACTCTCATAGTTCTTCTATTCTCCACGAGTGCCAACTTTGATTTGCCAATAGAATGTGAGGGCATCGTAAAAATGAAAGAATTAGGGGGAGGGTCGTAAAACTGAGAGTTCGCACCTAAAATAAAATCCTGTGTACGGCTCTGTCAACACCCGGATCAATTTTAATGGGATTTCATCTTTTTTCCGATTTTTTTTTTCAAAACGCGTATACTCAGTGCACTAGCGCAACTGCTGGAAGGTTGAAGCTAGTTTTGATTTACCGGGATACGGTATATCATATTTTCCGCTAACTAATGGATGTCTCATCAATGCAGATTTGGTTAACCTATATAAATATATTTTATTTTATTTTAATAAGGTCGTTCCAGATATGTTTCTTGAAATTCAAAAATAAAAAAATGTTTTCCGGAAAAATAACACTACCATTTTTATACAAAGAACTAATGATTACTCCTGTCTGTTACAACCAGGTTTGTGAGGTTAACGTTGTTAACGTTTTCAATGCGAATTCCTATTCCAGACGTTAACACTGACTAGTTTGGGTGTATGGAGTCTTCAGAAAAGGTTTTATATATTTGTTGGCCAATTTTTTAGGTAGTGGTAAGGATTCTATAGCATTTCCCCGAATACCATTCATCCGAAAGAAATTCGCCCGATTGTAACAAAAACCCGAACGTCATATACCTGAATTCCATCTACCAAAAGTAATAATGTTATGAGTGATTGCCAATTGACATTTTATAGACTAAATATTTCGCCAATAATTCATAATGCACCCTAATTCTTGTTTTCGAACGAATCGGATACGACATACAAAATTGTATGACTACTGTTACCGCGAAGGTGATTTTCGGACCCTTAAAAGCAAACTCAGGGTTGCTGTTAGAGTAAGCTTTAAGCTGAAATTAGTTTTATTCAATATAAATCCATGTCGCATGGCGTAGTTTTTATGTTACTTACATTCACTGTTCGTCTGCTTGCAACAAGTGTGTTTTTGTTTGTACACATCTGTCGTTTTGAACTCTTATTACAATTAGTATTCATTTTAATTATAAGAGAAAATAAGTTTACTTACTACAGTAAGGAAAACATTCCAGGATAAGCAATTTCACAACGCGTTTGAATAAAGTGTACGTAGTAACAATGGTAATGATAATAGGTACATTCAATAGAGATCTCCAAGCGCAATCTCACGAACACTAAAATCCAACATCCATACCTATATAAAAATGAAGAATTGGAATATATTTCTCTAACGAACAGTACTAGGTTTCAAGGTTACTACATTGCAATAGAAATAAATTTCTATTGTTAGACGGATATTCTGCCGCTATTCGCATAACACTCCCATGTCCTGTGGATTTCCTATCTAAATGCGACTGTTATGAAGAATAAATAAACAAAAACTTGGAATATGAATAAAACTTGTGTATTTTTCGGGTTAATGATCCATTCGAGTGAATGAAATTCGGTGGTATGTTATTGAATCAGTGGTAAGAGGGGCATAGTGAACATGTGTGGTCATAATGAGCATCCAGTACTGCAGTCCCAAACCTCTAATTGTTTGAAACAAATTAATTGATAGTAGGTTCATTGCATTCATTCAGGTTGCAATGATTAAAGACCAATTGATTGGTTTAGAATTGTAAAAACTTCAAGGCTAAGGCCCTGGAAGCTAACTATGCCCCTCCTCCCCCTTTGTAAAAGTAGGGTGGTCCTTATGGTTAGGGAGCTCAAAATATAATCTTTTTAGTTATTTGAGCTGGGCCAGCGCAATGTTCTACAAATTTGTAGAACAATTCATTGGAAGCAACTTTGGTGAGGATACAAATTTTCTAGTTCTATTTGTTTCCGTATTATACATTAACTTTTTTGCATTGATTTCTTGAAAATGGTTGGTTCTAAACACTTTTAGATCTTTTGATGGCACATGATGCTGATGTATCTGTGTAGCTATCTCTTTCTGTTATAAAGTTATAAATGTTTTTGGTGAAAAATTTGAAATTTTCAAATATTGATACCTCAAAAACGGAGCAAATGGATGTTTATGGTGTCGAATGTATTTGAAAAATCTTAATTTTATTCATATATAGATTTAAAACATCGAGAGCGTTTTTTGTTTAACTCATTCAATTAACTTTAAAAAAGGGCGAATTTTTTCACGAAAATCGTTCATAACTTTTTAACTAAACGAGACAGCAACTTGATTACCACAGCAAAAATGTGCGCCGTCAAAAGTTCCATTTACGAGAATGCAATATGTAAAAAGTAAAGTGAAAATTGCCGATTTTTCAGGGGGTCAACCTGAGTTAATTATAAACCCAGTATAAAACATGAATCGTTAGAGATAGAAAACTTCTTTATTCAGCAAAATTGATTTTAATAAATAGTTCTATATTTTGAAAAAAAAATATTATGCTGGTATTTAGATTGTAAATTGAAAATAGGCTCCCAACACACAATGAATGCTGAGTAAAAGCTTATACCGGCATAAATATGCTTCTACAGCTATAAAAAAATGGCTAAATGGCACATGACACATACATAAACAGCTGTAAGTTTTTAACTATTATGCTAAACAGTGTGACAAAAACATCTGCTTTTGTTTGGCGTTCAGTGATTGATTTTTTATTTGTTTAGTATTAAGTCAAAATGAGCCAAATTTGTTAAGTGAAATTTCTGACCAACTTATATGACTTATCTGATAATATTTTTAATTATAATGTTTTACCAAAACAATTGTTTTGGTTCCAAGATTCAACAGCAACAATGACGAAATAATTTCCTTGCATAACCGCTGATTTAAAATTTGGGACTGTACAACACTTTTTAGACAGCATGTTGTTCTCATGACCATTACACGACATAAACCACCTCTCAGACCCTAATAAAAATCACATATGTACGTTATGGACTAAACATTCTTCACTGAAAATTTCAAGTCATTTGGTATATAATCAAAATCATAATATATAATATATCTAAATAGCTCTTTTACATACCTTTCCGTTGAATAAAATATTAAAATCGGTCTAGTAGTATATGGATTTTCAAAATTGGGTGTACAGGCAAAAATGTATATTTTTTGGACCACGCTAACCCTAAGGGCGATAAAAATATTGGTTTATAATTTTTCAATAAGGAACAAATTTACAAAATTTGAGCGAAATCGGAGCAATTATTTTTTCTGTAGTACTTTTTTTCCTGGAATGTATATACTAAATAAAACTCATAGTAAATGAAAACTTAAATCGTAATATATATTTCTAATCATCTCGGAAAATAATTTTGATTTTCGAAAAATCAGTATTATCTAAATTTTAGCTAAAATCTGTGTATCTGTACACACAGATTCTTGTTCAAAAATGATCAAGAAAATCTTTAATATATAGAATAATTTGTATATGTGGCAAATCAATATATAAAAAGTTAGTGTGAAATAACTGATTTTATATGGGTTATTAGCTAATTTTGCTTCAAATGAATTGTTCTTCAAATGTGCTGATCTATCTCACATAACAAAAAAAAAAGTTATTTTGAACTCCCTAATCATGGGAACCACCCTAATTTCACGTACATTAAAAAAATGGTGAAAAACTATTAAAACATTCCCGAAGGACCATACACATATAATATAAATGGTTTAAGCGCAAACATTTTTGTCTGTCTCAGTGCACGAAGAAACTCAAAATCCCCAATCTCATGCTTGAGATTTTTCGCCTATGAGTTTTGCTTTGCAAAATTCAGTTTTTTTCACCGATGAGTTTTTTGATTCAAAAATTAATTCCTTTATATTTTGACGTTACGTTTGATTCATTGTTCTAAGCATTACTTTTGCACTATTTGTTGGAAAACTAACAAGACGGTCATGTACATGCCATCAATTGACGTTTGATCGGATTGTATGAGTTGGAATGAATGTTTGGCTTTGTGAGGATGAGTACGTGAAAAAAATTTTACATGAGAATCTTAAGCGTGATATTTGTTTGCACGTGAGTTTATTAGCTCCAGTGTACTCGATGAATGAGGTTTGTGAGTGATTTTCCGAGCACTGCAGTATCTAAATACGGGTTTGAGACCATTGTGACATGGATATTGCAATTTGGGGTAGAACTACAGATATGTTGAATTTAGTGTCTAACAAGGCATACAAAACAATCTTTGACCACAGACAAACAGACGTAACTCTTCATTGTGTATCTTCGTTCATGTATTTAACGGTTGATTTGAATATTATCAGTTCAGCGAACTACTCGCTTCAGCGCTGGCATCGGATCACTTTGACGTTTCTATACATTCTATAGAACTTTTATGCAATATTGTTTACGAGTTAGCGAGCAAGCTTGTTTTCCGCGAGAAGCCAGATAGATGTCGTTACTGAGGTTATATGTTTTGAGATACTATGTTTTCAAGAACAAGTTTTTCAAAGAGTTACGTCTGTTTGTCTGTGCTTAAATTACACGGTGTTACACGACAAAAGAAAATTTTCATGTTACCTATTGTAGGTTGTTAATCTTGTTGAGTGCACAATGAAATCACATATGAAATTGTTATAACACCCACAACATTTAAATTTATTGTTAAAAATCCGATTTTGGGTAAGTGACAGCATACTATCATGAGCAACTCAACCATTTTTCAATCGATTTATTTTTATTTTTCTACGATTTTGGAAGGAAAAAAGTCAGAGCTTTCGAAATATATACACATTTGTCGTGATTTTACTGAAATTCGTAGCGATTAAATTTGATTTTTATGCAAACAGATTAGCATTTTTCTAACTTTAGACGCCATTAGGATGACGAAAACATGGCCCTCTCCCTTGCCATAATACCACTTGCTTTCTATGCAATCCTCAGGCTTTGTTCAAAATTTGAGCGTTGCAAACGTTCCCATCAGCATCATCAAACCCGAGGGGGGTCAATCAACAGAATCAACTCGCATCGTCTTCCAGTTTTGGACAAAGTTGTTGAGAATATAATTTATTGAGCATTGGTTTTGGTGATTTGGATTGGGACTTTTGCAACGCCATCTTGAAAATGGTGTTTTTGTAAACATTTTAAACTTCAACTCGGAAAAAATAGCTTCAAATGGGTAAATGTTGACCACGCTCAAATTTTGAACAGAGTCTCAAGATTCCATTGAGAACAAGTGCTGTCATGGCGAGGGCAGAGGATCATGTTTTAGTCACCTTAATGGAATCTAAAGTTGAAAAATGGGATTTATTTTGCATAAAAATCTTATTTACGTAAAAGAATCCCTATGCATTTCAGTAAAATCACCATAAATGTGTTTAAATTTCAAAAGCTCTGTATTTTTTCTTGACAAACCCTTTTAAAAATCAAAAAATTGGTTTAGAAAATTATTGCGATACTCTTGATAGTATGCAGTCACTAACCCAAAATTGTTTTTTTTTACAATAACTTTAAATTTCGGAGATGTTCTAAAGATTTCAAATGTTATTTCATTGTGTAGGCTGTTCGTTTTTATTTTACCGATGGGATTCATATTACTCTGATAATATACAAAATCGTAATATGCCGCGTAATAGTTGGCTATTTTTGTCTGAAGTCTTCCTTCAAAATAAAGCAAAACCGTTGACTTCTGTATCTAAATGTATGAAATGTATCTACGGAAAATAAAAAAAATCACACAATTAGTATAAATAACTATTAATAAAGTAGCATGCACTTAACGCAGAAGTAGACGTTTACAGATTTGGAACGACCTTGTCTTTACCTTACATTTATTGATTAATAACAATCCATATTTCATACGTAGAAAATGACTCAATGGGGCCGACAGCTGATGGATTTGACTTATCCGATTACGTCCATGTTCTCCGGGAGAGATTTTAACCAAACCATTCGTGGAACGTTCGGCGACGTGTGCATCGAGGACCTTTGGATACCATATTTTACACTTACCACCGACATTTCGGCTAGCTGTGCCCGCACTCATACCCATGGTAATATATCCTACCTAAAATCCCTGTTAGCAACTGATATTCGCTCCATTTTCCGATAAAATACGTTCTGAGAATTTAAATTTTTCCGCGGCGAAAACAACTATTGCCCTGCTGAGTGTCTTTTCAAATTGACTCTCCTTTTTCTTTAGATAAAGATAATCTTCAGTTAAGATTACTGCCTATAATCATTTAATTTACTCAAAGCATTAACACAAAAATAGCAAATTTATGCTGTTTGGTTTCGCATTTTTTTGATTATTGGCAGAATCGTAGTGCTGTGTCTTTGATTTCTACTATGTTGAACATTTTTTTCCTGGATGATACTTTTCTACTGTAAACTATATTACTTTCATACCACACTACTGAAACACAACCCAAATTTAACTGCTGCGTGAAATCCCTATCGAATGAAAAATGAAGGCTCCCTTTGGCGGTATGTTCGATCGTCTATGTCACTTAGCGGATACATGCCACCTTTGTGTGACCCGAAAGATGGACATCTACTCTTGGATGGCGGTTATGTCAATAACCTTCCAGGTAAATATAAACTCATGCTTTGTGGATCATACATTGGCAGTCAATCCTTTTGTTATCTATCATAATTTGATCTGAAAGTTTGACACTATCCATCCATCTACATTGTTCGTCGTGTGTTTATTTGTTATATTAACTAGACGCTTTCTGGACACACTAACATGTTTGATGTTGCTTTTGTTTACTTTCTTTTTGTAGTTGTGTGAAAAAAGACACCTTCTAACAGTATATAACCATCTCAATGAACCCATAGCTAACCACGGAATCTGATGTTATCTGGAGTAGCACTGTCTGTGAACACAAAACTGTTCGAAAATTGAATTCTATTATCTACTATCTATTATCTATATTGTGAACTTTATTGTAAGTAACGCAACAGAGAAAATGTTTTCACTAACAAAGATAAATCACTGGTTAAATAACTACGATAAACGGAAATATTACAGGTACTTACTCTAAATGTTTGGTTTCCTTGTTTTCCAATGAAACTGTTGGTGTTAATTTCTAGGTAATCTAGTCTGGAAGTATTTAAAACATTTCCGACAATCATATTAATTGTATTTTAATTTATTTCTAATTCATTTCATCAACATATACCTACAGCCAGCCAACTCATTCTTACTCAATATCCTAAAACTCGATATTCTCCCAATTCGATGGAATGTCAGGCAACTTCAATCACTTTTCCCATACATATTTCATAAATTTATCTCCGCAGCTTGATGTTCTCCCTAACTCGATGGTCCCTTCAATATCGGATTTAGAGGAAATGATTGTAGTTGACATCGAGTTCATATACAGTATGCAAAAAAAGTTTATCCACCCCCAGTTTAATTTTATGAGTGTTCCTCCATGATTTGTCAATTTTTGTTTATTTATCACATTGCCATTGAAAATACGGCGTTTATATCTTTTCTTGAGATTTCATGTGATAAATTATACAAAAGGGCAAAAAATTACGCAAAAAAAGTTTATCCACCCCCAAACGGATACTACGATTTAAGTGTGTTTTACAGAGTTTTAGTGTGTATTCTGCAACTTTCTCAAACGTAAACATTGTGTCTAGCTGTTATTTAGTGCTCTTGAAGTTTTCGTGCTCAAAATTTCAGTTTTGTGTTCAATATGCCCAAAAAAGTATAAATTTCGATCAGTATCCGAAATTTGATTATTGAACATCACAAAACTGGCAAAAGCTACCCTGATATTGCCGATATTGTCCAGCTTCACAAAGATACAGTCGCTAGAATTGTGCAAATGTACAAAAAGCGTGGTTCTATCTCACAAGCTAAGCGATCGGGGCGTCCTTCAAAGACAACTGGCCGAATTGACAGAGCTATCGTGATGAAGGCGGAGCTGGACCGGGGATTATCAGCTCCGAAAATTGCGAAACAGATTAAAAGCGATTTTTCCATTCAACTGACATCACAATCCGTACGAAATTGTCTTCATAAGAAAGGTCTTAAGGACAGTGTAGCTCTTAAAAGACCATGGTCGTGCGCAAAAAATATCAAAGAACCGCTATCATCGTTTATGCCCATGATTTTTTTTGCACACTGAACATTCCTTAACCACAAAGGGGGAACGCCGTTCGCCATAAAACCGTTTGGCATAAAATATCTTGGCAATTCAGTCATTTGGCATAACTATATAGTATCACAATGTCTTGCAGATGCAAAAATAACATAAATAATACTAGGCACTTTCACTTTAGCATTTGATAAATAGCTATACTTACGCTCCAGTCCCAATGACGTGCTTATATTAGAGATTTTCGATTCTATAAAACATGAGTTGTTTGTTTTTCTAGTTTTTAAGGAATTAAACACATCTCCAAATAACAAAATGATAAGCGATCAATGAGCCGAGGATGATACACGTGTGTTAATGGGATTTGTTTGTTGTGTCTTTTCTCGATTCCGATCAAGCTATGTCCTCAACCGTGTATATTAAAGCAAAGCAGGCAAGCAATATATCACTATCCTTCTACAACTCCGAGAATGCTGTATTACAGAGATAGTTTATCGTGGTAATAGTAGCAAAAGGTGTCTTTATCGTTGGTTGGTTTATGTGTTTGAATTCGCTGCTAGTTTTATTTTGCAGTAATTATTGAAAACAAAAATCCATTATTTTTAATTTGAATTATTAAACCGCATTAAATTTAAAAGATTCTATTGTTTTATGCCAAACGGAGTAGCCCCATAATATTATTAAGCATTTACTTTTGGTTAAGTGCTCCAAGAATATCTACCTGGCGTATATCAGATCAGCGAGCTTGAGCACCATTAAATGCTGAATTCTAAACGGTTAATACAGGGAAATCCTAGAATACCTGGCTACATTATTCGTTACTGTTTGTCATATTACTAACTCAAGTAATGATAAAAATTGTCAAAGTTTAGAAACTTGCCTGTTTCCGCCACTTTTGATTGAAATCTTTTGTTGATTAATCAATCAAAGGTATAAGATCAATACACTCGACCCCCCGCATGTGTGCATTTTTCCAATTTTCTGTTTCTGTGGTGTAGTTAGAAAATTTCTGTAGGTACCATTTGTTTCTAATTTGTTGACCAGTTGAATATATTACCAGTTGCATCAAGCTTGGTTTTATTTGATCATAATAAAAGAGGAAAACATAGTCACTCAAGTATTATGAATCACCCAAATTATGGGCAATTTTCATTTGATTAACACGCAGAACTGAATGACCCATAATAGTGACTAGTTGACCCATAATACTGGGATGACTGTAGGTCTGCGTAAAAAAGGGTTGGGTGTATGTATGTGCATTAGACTGATGTAAAAATTGAAATTTTCACTCCACAGTGCTCAAACAGTTCCAAATCGGGTCCTGATTAACCTCCCAAAATCTAAACTCATTTGGTAAGAAACTGACTTGGCACAAACCATTTGAAGTTTATATAGAAATTACCAAACGCCAAATTAAATAGATATTAATTGTTTAAGAGATTGACAATCTTATAACATGATCAAGCAGCTGTTTTGTGGGTAACACTGTATTCTACAGTGTGACATAGTAGCCATGATTTTTGTGTTCTATTATGCGCGCCAGAACACCAATGTTGCCTGCTGAAAAGTCTATACACACTTAGAAAAAATCACCGACTTCGGTAATTCATTTACCGAATTCTCAACAGCTGAACGGTCGGTAATGTTTTCGGTAATCGAGAACATTACCGAAAAATCTGTAAACTGGATCAGCAAAGTTAGCTGTCAAATTTACCGAACGATCGGTAACGTTTACCGATGTGCATTGCTTGATTTGTAGTCGATTTTACCGGAGAACTGTAATTTTGAGGACGATATGCAAATCGGAAATTACCGAGAGATTTGTAATTTTTTAAAAAGGTCACCGACTGTTATTTGCTTTAATATTGTTTCAAGGTGGCGGTCACTGCAACCCATGCAAAAATTTGGCTGCAGTCGTGATCAATAAGTTAGTGTTGCAAATTGCACCACCAATGAACAAAACCGTTGGCGACGATCTGAAAACTTAAGTTTTTGTTGGAAAGATTCGGCGCTACACTGAAAACAAGGAAGCATTGGAAGAAGATTAACGCTTTTAATGTCGATCGAAAATAACAATATGATGGATTTGACGTTTACCTAGACCGTTACCGAACTCAGTAATGGAACGCTTTGATTACCGAAACTTCAGTAAAATATTTCACCGAAGTCAGTGATGAAGCTGATTTACAGACCTGCCGGTAAAAATGTTTACCGTTTTCGGTAAATTAAAATAAAATTACCGAAATTCGGTCATTTCATTTACAGTTTTCAGCAATTTAGCGAGAAAATTCCGAAACATCTGTAATTTTTAGCATTACCGATCTAAGACGGTAATTTTTTTTACCGAACTCAGGGTCTCTGTTTAAGTGTGTAGGATCATTGACATTTTACCATAAATTGTAGCACGAAAACATAATTTCTGATCAAAATGACGTCTGAGACAAAATTGTATAGAAAAGAAGAGTATTTCTGGGAAAAATATACACGGTCATTTTTTCATCGTAATTTTGATTGATTGATTGATTGATTGATTTATCTTTATTTAGGAAGCTGGTTCGCCTCCAAAGTTAGTAATTTTGAGTAACAACTCAAAAAAGTGTTAAAAACTGAAATATCTCAAAAAGAATGTCTTCAATGTTTATTATTTATTTTTAAATAAAGCTCATAATAAATGCAAACTTTTGGAGTATTTAAAACTTTGATACATGAACATTGGCAAACATCGTAGAAAAGCAACATTTGGTCACATTTTTAAACTTCTTGTTTACAAGCTTTTTTATGTAATTTTTGCATAGATAGCGATTTAGAATGTCTCAAATATTATTTCCTGTGTTGAATTTTAATAAAACAGCGTACTAGCCGAAAAGTGGAAAAATTTGACCAAAAGTTCTTGTTCAACGGTTTTTGTCAATTTTCAAGTGTTCATAGTTTTAAATATTTCAAAAGTTTGTATTTAGTACGAGTCTTTTAATGCAAAATATATAAACATGGAAGATATACTTTTTGATATATTTCAAATTCTAACATTTTATTTTCAAACCGTCTCGCACGTACGTACTGGTCTCGTTTCACGACATTACTGTTCATTTTTAGTTTTTCTCCACGCAAGGGTTTTTTTTTCTCACTAAAGTTAGTTGGAATAGTTTTATAGACAACAAGTGCGCGAGTAAGGAAGCCGTTAATCATACGCCGAGTGCTTTGGTTACGGTCCAGCTTTAACTCATCATCATCACAACATCAGCATTAGCAAAATCATCACCAATATTGGCACACGATAGCAGGAACGAAAGTGCGACAAATTGCCTACCGAGCTACACCAGCTATGAAGTTATTGACCCAATAGGCGTTGAGTTAAACGATTGCATCTATACAGTCTGCTGCCGCCTCAGCGTAGAAGGTATATCGTGTCGCTGTTGTTTTGTTCTCGTCAGTATCGCATCTCCCTTGTTGCCCCTGGGTACTGCGGACACACTCACTTGGGAGCCAGTATGAACTGCCAAACGGTAGCCAAACATTCAGAATCAAAAAATGCAGTTACTGTTAATACCCATCGTCA